GTAATAAGCTTTTAAAAAACATCAAGTCGTCATTTTCCGGTTCTTTTTGAAATGCAGTGAGAATTGTATCAATTTTTTGCTGCTCCAGTTGCAATATTTTTTCATTATATGCAGAATTGGCCAACACTCGTTTTCTTTTTTTCACTGGACCTTCAGAGGGTTGAGCTGTCTCATTTGGTAGGCCTCCTGCAGCAAGCTGGGTCTGATTCACATTGTCTGTAGATGTCTCTTCTACTCTTCCGGAAACATTCAAATCTATGTCCTCAGTTTCCTGGAACTCCACTTCAACTATTTCTTCAGTTATGTCCTCCTCTATGTCTTCCAAGACGCGAGTTGTTTTTTTTAAATTGCTAGTTGAAGCTCTTGGTCTTATAACATCTTTTAAAAAAAGCATACTTTTGTAGTACGGCCATTTAGGTTCGTTTGTGTCGGCTGCATCCCCCGATCTCGGTGGTTTTATCTTGCTGCATTCGACGCTGAACTGGTCTCTCAGGTATTTCCATTTCTTTCGAAGCACAGACCCTAAAATAAATAGGATATTTATAATGTTTTGCCTTTATGACGTTGACATAGGAAATTTGTTTCAGGTTCTTGTCAACTGGTATGTCATTTCGAGGGTTGGCATTCAGTTTTAGAATGGGGAAATCAACTGTGGCTAATATTGTGAAAGAGACAGTTACTGCAATATGGGAAGAATTACAACCACTGTATATGCCGGCTCCATCGAAAGAAGGTTTTAGTAAAATAGCTGAGGAATTCGCTGAACTTTGGAATTTCCCACACGTAATAGGGTGTCTTGATGGCAAACATATCCGAATAAAATGCCCAGATGGTTCGGCATCAATGTTTTTCAACTATAAGAAGTATTATTCCATTGTTCTACAAGGTCTAGTGGATGCATCCTACAAATTTATTACTGTTGACGTTGGAGGATATGGAAAGCAGAGTGATGGCGGAACTTTCCTTGCATCTCACCTACACGAGTTTATTGAATCTGGAGATATAACATTTCCGGAGCCGAAAATGTTGCCTAATACAAATGTCGAAGTGCCATTTGTAATGTTGGCTGATGAGGCATATCCCCTACTGCCTCATATCATGACACCCTACAAACGGAAAACCTTAACCGCTAGGAGAAGGAATTTCAATAACAGGCTATCAAGAGCTCGGAAAACCGTTGAATGTGCGTTTGGCATTCTATATGCAAAATGGAGAATCCTCTCAAAAGAACTGGAAACGGGGGTTGATTTGACAGAAATGATGATTAAGTGTATTTGCGTTCTGCATAACACTATTCTAGAACGTGATGGATTCCAACGACATATGACAGAGGTTGAGGTTGGAAATGAATCAGTGGTATGGCAGAGGGAAGGCCGGCAACTGGATTCAGCAAAGAAAATCAGGAACACTTTCGCAATGTTTATGGAGATACACCCGCTCTCTTACAAAGACAATGAATAGGTCTAATTTGAGAATGTACATAGTATTAATGTGTGTGTGTGTGTGTGTTTTTTTTTTTGCTGAAACTACTCTTAAAATGTATGAATTACAATGGAAACCACAACAGTATGTGTTGTAATTATTTTATCCTTCGTGTTATTTTTTGTTTGTTTTTAAAAAGCTGACGAAATTTTACTATTGTTCAGATACCAAAATGTGAATAGTCTTATAATGGTCCTTGGTATGGTAGCTATATTTTTGTAAAATTTAAGCCCAGTTGGTTCAGTAGTTTTTGCACCTATTAGTAACACACATACAGAGAGACGCCATTAGATTTTTATATAATAGTATGGATTTCATAACAAGAGTACCCGTGTTTTGAACGTTACTTTTCGTAACACTACAAAGAATAATTATTTTTTGAATTAAAAGAGACATTAGATATTTCCTCATTACAATTATGAACATGACAAAACACATTGCATTTTTAGTTTATGCCTTCAATTTAAAGGTCATACAGTATTTACTTTGGTTGTAAAATTGAACAGTTGACAAAACAATAACAAATCTTTGTTTGTTTACGTCGGCAAAAATCCAAAAATATATAGTATTCATTACTTTCTCATAGTAAACATGCTTTTGCCATAGTAAACAATGTAGCCTAATGATGAATTTTTGCAGATGAAAACAGGTAATTTCAAAGCAGTGTAACGAAAACATATTTTATGGTCAATTAGTATAATATCCAATGTTTGATAACATTTATTCAAATTAATATCATATTTCAGCCAGAGGTTTGTGGTATCCGAGGTATTCTTGGACCCGAAGACGTCGGATAATCGGGACTGAACTTTATTCATGATTCATGTAAACTACCTCATGCATTAAAAGTAATCTAAATTTACTGATATCACACAATGTACCTACCATCAATCTTCATTTCCAAGGATATTTTCTTCCAACAGGCATCGACGATGTTCCTATTGGCATGTCCTTTGATACGCTTATCCCATATTGGTGGACTGAGATGCACTTTTGATATCAACTCTTCGATATCCATACTTGTGATGAACAAAACACTTCAACACTTGATCACAGGAGTAAAAATTATAAGTCCAACTAGCAGGTTGTCTGAAACCAGAATGAAAAATTCATTCCGGTAAAAATCTGAGTCAGACTGCCTGCGCGCAGGAAATCAGCGCGCTGGTGCACTATGGACACTTCCGTTTACTAGCGTGGGAAGATAGGCGCGCCGAGTCTGACTCTATCGGCGCCGACTGTCTGACTCAGAAAACCAGCGTGCATTGTGGACGTACCCTATGGTTGACCCAGTAGTTGATGTTAATAGCCTCAATAACTATTTTTGCGGCATAGATAACAGTATAAATGATGATCTATTAGCTTATTACGAGAACCAAGGTGGGCGAGATAATTTTATATTTAGCCAAGTTGATGTTGAAACAATTGAAAAGGTAGTCTCAGACATTTCTAGTACTGCAATAGGTTGTGATGGTATAAATCTTAAGTTCCTTAAGTTAATATTCGATGATATAAAACATGTTTTGTGTTATATTTTTAACTATTCTCTTATACATGGTGTGTACCCAAATCAATGGAAACGAGCTTTAATTTTACCTTTACCAAAAATCAAGTCCCCTAAAGAGTGTAAAAATTATAGATCCATTAACATACTGTGTATATTCGCTAAAATATTAGATAAATTAGTATATTTACAAATAAGAAAATATTTAAATGACAATAATGTGTTTTATAAGTACCAATCTGGTTATAGGTCGTCATACAGTACTCAAACTGCTTTAATTAAAATATCTGATGATATTAGAAAAGCTATGGACGATAGAAAGATTACAGTCCTGATATTATTAGATTTTAGTCGTGCATTTGACTGTGTTAGTCATACACTTCTATTGTCTATCTTAAGGTCTTACAACATTAGCTCAAGTGTGGTAGGTTGGTTTAAATCTTACCTTAGCAATAGACTTCAAAGAGTTAAAACAGTGAATGGAACTTTATCAGAATGGAGATTAAACCCGATAGGAGTGCCTCAGGGTTCAACGTTATCTGCCATGTTGTTTTCCTTATATATCAATAAGATAAGCGATTCATTCATGTTTTGCAGATCGATGCTATATGCAGATGACTTACAATTGTATGTTCATTGTGATGTAAACGATTTAAATAATAATATACAGATGGTAAATGCAGATTTGTTAACATTACATAAATGGTGTATTGATCATGGACTTAGTTTAAATATTGAAAAATGTAAACCAATGCTAATAGGTACTCGAAGATTATTAAATAACATAGATATTAATAACACTATATCTGTGAATCTGAATGGTGTCGATTTAAAATATGAGGAGTCGTTAGTTAACTTAGGTTTACGACTCACTGAAACATTGTCATGGACCGAACAAGTAGATTATGTACATAAAAAGGTCTATCAGATATTATATAGATTAAAAAGATTATGTTTTAGACCTGATTTTCGAATAAAGAAACTTCTTGTATCCACTCTAATTTTTCCGTTGTTTGATTATGCTTTAGCGGCATATTGTGATGTAAATGAAACATTGACAATGAAGTTACAAAGAGCACAAAATTCATGTTTAAGGTATATTTTTAATCTATCTCTTGATGAACATGTAACAAGATATTATAAAGAATTAGGATGGCTTAAGATTAAGGAAAGGGTAGAGTACAATGTTTTGTCCTTGATGTATAAAATTTTAGAAGATAAAAGACCAGACTATTTATATGAAAAATATGTTTTGATGAGACAAGTTCATTTGAGACATACTAGATTTAGTGACAATTTGCTACAAATACCTATACATAGAACAACAATTTATAATAGGTCATTTCATGTACAAACAATAAGATTAGTCAACAAGTTGAGTGACAGCCTAAAAACTGCTACAACTAGCGCATCATTCAATAGAATGTTAAAGAAAACCCTTTTATTAAGATATTAAGCCTTTTTTCTCTATCTCTCTATATTAAAACACTACTTTATTTTCACCAAACATGTATAAAACGAAGCTAATTTTGTTATCTCTCATTGAAAAATAATTTAAAAAATAAATAAAAATTTAAATGTATCTATAGATTAGAAGCAAACATGTTTTGTGTTTTGTAAAAATTTTTTATTTTTAGGTTTACAATTTGTAAAAGCAATTTTCTTTTCTTTTTCTTTTAGTTATAAGGTAGTTAAGTTGCCAAGCCACAACTGACATGTAATTGATGTATGTACAGATTGTCTAAGTCTGGTCTGGTGTAAGAGTGGACCTATGGTCCAAACCAGACCAGGGTAAATAAAGAAATTGTCAAATTGTCTCTCTCTCTCCCACTCTCACTCTCCCTCTCTCTCTCTCTCTCTCTCTCTCTCTCTCTCTCTCTCTCTCACTCTCTCTCTCTCTCTCTCTCTCTCTCTCTCTCCCCCCTCCCACCCACTCAGCCACTTGCTTAATCGCCCTATTACCAACAAACTCCAAGGTCATCATCACTTCAAGTACTTCAACTATCGACGCGACGAGTCAAGGTTTGTTGTGTTTTCGTCGTCATGACATTCCAGTCCTCTTCAGCCTGGAACTGTTTGAGTTCGTTACCCGGATTTTGGGTTCAGTGAGTTGAGTTCCCCCTCTACTTTGGTCTAATCCTAATCACTTCATTCCAGTCTGCAACTTCGTACTGTATGTTTGGTCTCTTGCGTTTCACCTGTTGAAACATTCTATTTGAAGGTAAGTCAATAGTAGTTCATGTTCACAATACTATTTCCATTAGAACCGTTCATGTATTCATTCTCTCTTACACTTTCATAATATAAATAATTAAATTAACTAAATCATTAGTGATGGTACGATCAATAGTAATAGTTATTTTTTATATTCTAACTTTTTAGCTCCAAAACTATTATTTGGCTACAATCCAGCATTTAAAATGATAAAATAAGACTTGTTATCAAAGTTGACTTCTTATAGAGGTTTGCAATAATATAACTTGTGATTAGGGGTAAAATAAATTCATGGGTATTTGAAAATGACACTTGTAATCTAGTGTGACTTAGTATCGAGGTTCTTGTTATTGAGGGTCCACTGTATAACTATTCCATTGGTGACTAGACAGATTAGAACCCAACCAACCACCCCTATTGCAGTAGATGAAAAACAGTTTACACACACTTAACTTATATATAGTTTATACCAGTTTTTTAAAAATAAATATAAATAATTTTAAAATGTTAAGCATACATGTTTGATTTGGTGGTGGTGGTGTAAACATGAAGTTATTATATACAGAGTTAGATAACACCTATGTTATCTGCACTTAAATCTGTATATAAAAATAGTTATGATCGATAAATAATGATCAAGTTCACACACAGATAATTAATAAAAATATCCATTACACACCAATTTCACAGGTTTAGTCTAGTGATAATTTATTATGTACGAAGTCTGCATGATAAATTGTATTTGAACATTGATTTTGTGTTGTTTTTCTTGCGTTCTTTTGGCTTAAAACTATTTAAGCAGTAAAACTCAAAACGATGAAAACCATGTAGGCTACATTACCAATTTATTTTATTACATAAATATTAAACATTTTTGTTCATAGACAATTACTAACATAAAGTACACAGTGAATAGAACATAATCTAAATCAATCAATGGATACTGATTTTTATCTTAAGACTTTAAATAATCTAGCACCCCCTCAATTTAAATAAATAATATGGATCCAGCAAGCTCAATTATTTTTGTCCCCTCTACTGATCTATTGTTTTAGATCTACAACCATGCCTCTCATACTCTATGGATTCGAGTACAGTCCTGCTGTCCGCTCAGTGAACCTGGTCATCCACCAACTCGGTCTGGAGGCAGAGTTCAAGGTCATTGACTTGAGTAAAAGAGAACATCTCTCCCCTGAGTTTTCCAAGGTGAGAACACAAGTATTTAGTTGTGTCAGTCTCGGTCAGTAAGCTAGACCCCACACCAATTTCTCATTCATTTTGCTTGAAATGTTCAAGTTCATTGTGTACTATCTCCAATTGAAAGAGCATATGAAACCCAAAGTTTCAAAGCTTTTTACAAAATACTATTAATCAAGACGCTGATAATTAAGTACTGTAGTCTGGTACGTTTGTTGAATATTAATTTGGTTATTTTCAGTTAAGTGAAGGAGTGAGAGAATGTGTTCTATCATAAATGCATAAGTGTCATCATTGTCAACAGTGCTTTACAAGTTTCCTCCATCCATCCCAAAGCCATTTATATCAGAGGTGATATTTAGCCCACCAACAAATCTGTGACATATTCCTACTCTCCTCAAAAACACTTGGGGGGTCCTCTGTATCTTCCCCCACCACTCCAATTATTTACACATCCTCCTTCATTTGCTTATTTGTGATACACATTTAGTGTAAAAATTTAAAGGGTAAATTGTTTAGTTAGTTGTTTGAAATTATATCTACTTAAGATAAAACTTCCTTAACAGGTTATAGTACAGGCAAAATAGATTAAAATTCACAAAAAAAAACAAAAAAATTAGTTCAGGGATGAAACTTTGGTTTTAACTTCGTTTTACCAATAGAAGTCAAGATCCGATGAGTCCCTAACAGTCCCGATGGGGGAACGTGGTTTTTAGGGGGTGGGGAGGGGGAATTTTGATATAATTCATTATTCACGATTTTAAGTCATTTAGGAAGTCGTTTTTAAGGTTTGTATACACGGTGAATCGATAGGAACCATATTTAGGTCGATAGAACCACCTCCATAAGAGATTTAGCTTATTGGTACAGGTTCAGTTGTTATTTTTTCTAGGAGGGGTAGGGGGAATTTTAAATAATTTATGATTTTTGACTTATGACTTGTTGGGTGTCGTTTTCAATGGATTTCTACATGCCAAATAGAATGGGACCACTATTTTGTAGATATAACTACATTATTAACAGATTTGGAGTGCTATCTGAAATAAAATAAATGTTTGTGCACAAAATTAATAATTTAATATTTAAACATAAAAAATAAAACAATTAACTTAACATCAAGTATTAATTGAATTAGTTTATTTTTACAATAAATTTAATTTTTCCTATTATAATAAAATACCCCCTCGCAGCAAACCTGCAGACCAAGTAAATTTTCATTTATCTGGCAGGATTTCTACTAACTTGTCCTAGAAACTGTCAGATTTATTTCCTATTTAAATAACATTATTTTTAATTAATAATAGATTTGCTGCTACAGGGATGTAATGGGGGTTGTTTTTATTAAAATGTTGATAACTTAGTATGAAATAAACAAAATTGCCAAGTTTGGTTTAAATATATCCACAAACAAGTTGATTTATCTACAACAGTTTATTTATTTTCCATTAGAATAACATGGGAATTTTAAATTTACATTTTTTTATTATCTCCTTAACCGTTAGGCGTACAACAAGGCATATACTAAATTATTAAATCTTTTAAGCTCTAGAAAGTGGTTTGGAAAGAAATTGTGAAATTCTTTGTTGATGGGGTCAAAAATGGGAAAAACCAATTTTCTCCCCACAAAAGTCTCCATAAACCAATAATACATTGTAATACATTGACATTAAGTCAGGGTTTAAACCATGTTTTATGATTTTAAGTTCAAGTAAATATCTATTAACCCTTGCGTAGCCCCTACAAAGTTTGTATATATGTTTTATATGTTTTGTACATATGTATAGGGCCTACTGTTTTTATATCCTTCAGCAAGTCAAAGGAATACATTCTAAGTTACAACGAGGTTTTTAGCGAATTTCCCATATAGGGAATAAGCTATTACCGTAGGTCTCATGGTAAGACTTAGACCCGGGACCAATTTACATTTTTGTTTTGAGGTCCCCAGAAGTCAAAAACACCATCCTTTCAAATTCATATACATATGTGTCTGTTTAGCGTGATAACTCGAGCACAAATTATCCGATTTTGATGTCATTTGGTACAAACGTGTAAACCTACATTTATTCGAACGAGTTTGCGAACCAGCATGATTGGACTATGGGAACAGGGGTTCATGGGAATTTTTATGGGGAGAAAATTGGGTTTTCCCATTTTGACCTCATCAACAAAGAATTTTACAATTTCTTTCCAAACCACTTTCTAGAGCTTAAAAGATTAATTAGTTTAGTATATGCCTGGTTGTACGCCTAACGGTTCAAATCAAATCAAATCAAATTATCTTTATTCACTTTATACATTTTACATACATGAATAGTGTCAAAGCATACAAAATTGGTTATACAATTTTATCTAAAAGACTTAACCATACAATTTTACAATTATTTTAGAATGTATAGCTAATTCATTTTTGATTTAGAAACTCATCCATACTATAAGGAGCCAGATTAATTATGAATGATTTTAATTTCTTTAAAAAATTGGGTTTGTTTTTATGGCAAACTTCTTATGAATAAATTGTCGATATACGAAGGTTTCATTTTTGAAAGTTTCAGCCGATGATGATTTTTTACAGTAAGATTTTTCCACCTTGTGTTGTATTTATTGGATACTTCAGTGTTTTTATCTTCATAAACATGCTGAATAGTTTTAAAAATATACAAACCATACACTGTAAAAATTTTAATTCCATCATTACATTGTAAAAAAGTACTTTAATTTTTTTTTATTAAATAAGTTTCTTTTTATTTACGTTTCTTTTATTTACTTTCAGTTAAAGTTAAAGAGATCATTAAAAAAAATGTAAATTTAAAATTCCCATGTTATTCTAATAGAAAATAAATAAACTGTTGTAGTTCGCTTGTTTGTGGATATATTTATTTAAACCAAACTTGGCAATTTTGTTTATTTTATACTAAGCTATCAACATTTCATTAAAAACAACCCCAATTACCTCCCCTATAGCAGCAAACCTAATGACTCATTAAAATTAATGTTATTTAAATAGAAAATAAATAGTAATCCTGTCAGGTAAATGAAAATTTACTTGGTCTGCAGGTTTGCTGCGAGGGGGTATTTTATTATAATAGGAAAAATTAAATTTATTGTAAAAATAAACTAATTCAATTAATACTTGATGTTAAGTTAATTGTTTTATTTTTTATGTTTAAATATTAAATTATTAATTTTGTGCACAAACATTTATTTTATTTCAGATAGCACTCCAAATCTGTTAATAATGTAGTTATATCTACAAAATAGTGGTCCCATTCTATTTGGCATGTAGAAATCCATTGAAAACGACACCCAACAAGTCATAAGTCAAAAATCATAAATTATTTAAAATTCCCCCTACCCCTCCTATAAAAAATAACAACTGAACCTGTACCGATAAGCTAAATCTCTTATGGAGGTGGTTCTATCGACCTAAATATGGTTCCTATCGATTCACCGTGTATACAAACCTTAAAAACGACTTCCTAAATGACTTCAAATCGTGAATAATGAATTATATCAAAATTCCCCCTCCCCACCCCCTAAAAACCACGTTCCCCCATCGGGACTGTTAGGGACTCATCGGATCTTGACTTCTATTGGTAAAACGAAGTTAAAACCAAAGTTTCATCCCTGAACTAATTTTTTCATTTTTATTTAGTATTTTTCCTGTACTATTAGAAAACTTCCTCATCCTTTGATGAATTATATCAGGATTCATAAATTAATTGTAATTTTTATTAATTTTTAGATTTTACATTTAAAAAGTTTTGTTATATATGTTACAGCTTAACCCTTTTCACACAGTTCCAGTTATTGATGATGATGGATTCATTCTTTGGGAAAGGTAAGACCTAAATAAGACCAACAATGTAGATATTTAGATGGATTTGTTAAATTGTTCATTGTTAGGTTGGTGGTTTTATTTCAGGGATGTGTGGTTGATATTATACTTATTAGTCTTGAGTTGTAATTCTACATAATTTTATCACTATTTTTATCTTGGGGCAATCATGTCCAAAGTATTCTGCAAAATTACTTCCTTTATTGAATAAAGTTAATAAAAAAAAAATTTAATTCATAGCCACATTTAGTATGAGAAAATAACATTTTCTTTGGTTGAATGGAAAAATATTAATTTTTAGAATGAAAATGTTTTCATAATGTACTTATTTGTTGCTTTATATACCCTTCTAAAACCAGTTTTTGTTTCAGCAAAGCCATAATGACCTACTTAGCCTCCAAATATGCCAAAGACGACTCTTTGTATCCCAAAGACCTGCAAAAGAGAGCAATTGTAGATCAGAGGCTTCACTACAGCAATGATGTGTACTACGTAGGCAGAGAAATCTCGGTGAGTTTTGACTGGATTTTAAAACTAATTCCTTTGCAGTTTTGGTGTTTAAACAAATTTAATTTCTTCTTTACCCATGGATAGACCTAGATATTCCGTTCCCATGCATGCCCTTTATTAAATGAGCCTGGTGGGCCCGTCCCAGAACGCAAGAGGTTTTAGGGTTTTTAAGGAAGAGAAAAATTCCTACGCAAGGAAGGGGGAGGGGCACACAATTATCACTTGGGCCCATAGCGCAACACATGCAAGCCGCAGGTCTGTTCCCATAGTTGATGTTGTAGCCAGTTTTAGTTTAGAATTTGGTGAGTCGGTGGCTCCGGTAGTGCCACAGATCCAGGCCCAAGGCAGTGATGTCGTAGGTTCGGATCCTGGTTCCTGCCACTACTTTTTTTATTCATACAAGACACCCCTTGCTTTGCTGGATAGGTGCTACGCACACTAGCACAGATCTGTAGTCTATGTGGATGGGAAAATGTAAGATTAAAAGCAGAGGCCGCCAACCACTTAAAAAAAATAAAGTAAATACAATGAACGCAGTTGAATTGGGTCAACAAGAAAGTATCCTGATGTAAACTACTGAAGGGAGAAATTTGACTCTAACACTTTCTGTAGCATGCTCATTCAACTTCAAATGCGTTCTTTTTCAATAAAACTTTGTCATCAGCTAGTCTACAATGCCAATAACATTAAATCCCGGAATGTTTGGAATATAAAGTGACCATGCGGATGTGGTTGCATAATTTACTGGTAGATGGGTGTATACTTTTGTATTTAAAAGTCAATGTTCTACTCTCTGAAAATTTGAATTTTATTCCAAGCCCAAACAATTTGTTAAAGTAAAAAAAAAACAGAGGGAGAGTAAAATGACGAATATACAGTATAGTGGTGTACATGGCATACAATTTAGCATGTATGAGTAAATCTTTACTAGATAACACAGCAAAAGGAAGATAACCAATATTAAAACCAAGCATTGACGACTTCTTGTACATTTTTTTAAGGCTATACTTTTTTATTTCTTATTTGACTATATATTTATTCAAAGAGATGTTTGTCACGGGATTAGAAACCTAATTACATTTAACTAAGAATTTTTTATTTTATTTTAGAGATCCCTTGTGTTTGGAAATAAATCCGGGATCACAGAGGATGAGCTGAAAAAAGTGCAGCAGACTCAAGACAACATTGAAAAACTATTGGAAGGTCAAAAGTTTATGGCAGGGGACCATCTTACATTGGCTGACTTTACCTACGTAACAATGGTTGATGTGTCGGAGGTAAGATGTTTGTTTTGCTATTGCAGGTGGTGTTGGGGTTTGCTTATTGTGACCGTCTTTATTTTATTTTATTTTACAAATTATTTTTCTTTCTCACAAACAAGATCGCCGAGTATGGCTGTAGCCTTAGTCTTGTCTTTCCGACCATGAGGTAGTACCGTATTAATCAATCAATTATTGAGAGGGGGACGCCACCTTGGTGTGTTTTTCAACTCAAATATGAGTGAAGGTTTGAGGATAGAGGGTTCACAAACTGCCTCTGACAGGTCTAATGTTCATTTTTAGCCTCCTTTAATATAGAAGACCATGGTGTTGTTGCACTGGCCAGCCTGTTACCATGAGAATAGTAATAACAAATTTGTTACTACAATACTTTTGCAGACGCTCCTATTAGTGTAACAGCTGCTAGACATTTATAGATTTAGGAGTAAACCCCCATCTATGCTGCTATTGCTTAATTTTATTGTTCAGTTCAGTTGACACCAACTTATATGATTTAAAATATTAATTCTGATTTCAGGTAATGAATCCCTCACAAAATCATCCTTTGACCAAAGCATGGTTCGAGCGCTGCAAGTCAACGATGAAGGATTTTGAAAAAGTCAATAAAGCGGGGTCCGATCAAATAAAAATGGCTGTCAAGCAGAAACTAGGACAGTCATCGTAGAGCACAAAACTTTCTTGTGAAAGGCATAAGATAATGGGTATTGTGTAATGAAAAGTAGTCTTTAGTTTGTCACAATGTCTACTACTACGACATAAGATAATATGTCCAACCTAGATAAATCTAAACACTACAAAACTGTTGTCTTTATCAATTTTCCACTCGAATTAAACATAACATTCAAATGAGTTAAGTCTTGGTGAAAAAGTTCTTTCAAATCCTCATTCATCTTCCTATTTTATGAAATGAACCTTAAATACAAAAAGATGCTACAGGCACTGTATTGTAAAGTAGTACATTTATCTTTCCAAAACATTGACAAATCTATCCGGGTCTATTTACTTTTTCATTTTGATGTACCCAGACATCTTCACTATTGTAGTTAAAATTTGTACTTAAATAGGGGATAATCCTGAAATGTTTAATAAATAAAATTAACCATCCAGATGCTGTAGTGGCATTATTTTTCTAAAACCTTGTAATTTTTTTTTTAAGTAGTTAATTTTTACTATTTTTAAGTTAACTATAAAATCCTTAGCTTCAGACAGGAATTGTTTTCTATGAAAATACTGGCGAAGCAATTAAGAGAAAGTTTGGTGGTGAAGTAGCTCTCAACAACTCAAGTGAAGAACTTCAGAATAGAACATTCAGTAACAGTTACAGTAGCAGATATAACAGACAGTTTAATTTGATGTAACGGTACAGGGTTAATATGTTAGCGGTTTGTTATATTAATTATCTTCAATCAATGTAACCATTTTAATGGATAAGATAAATTTGTCTACTGTCAATGTAGACCAATGGTCCAATGGTCCTTTTGACCATTTAGGTTATAGATTTTGAAATATATTTTCCTAATTTTTGAGACACCAGTGCACACTTTAGTGCACGCTTTAAGCTAAAAGTGCACCTTTTAGCTTAAAGTCCATAAATAAAGGTAAGATGAGCCTATGGAGTGAGATGATCTGTGTACTGACAAAAAACAGCTGTTTCTTAACCCGGGAGGGGGGGGGGGTATTAAATGCAAAAATGATCAGGAACCAGGATCAAGTGTTAAACAATCAAAACGCTATGACCTTTGTCAGGATCAAACCGGAAACCTTTATCCTAGGTGAGAACAATAACAATCCAGCTATTTCAACTTCCCATAAACAAAACCCGCTGGACATATTAACAGTGAAGCATGGAACAATAAGTAGATAATACTTTATGTAGTCATTATTTATAAATATTTTTCAAATTTAAATAACAAAGGTTGTCCTGAGGTATTGAAGAAACACAAATTTTGTTGAATCTCAAGAAATAGACCGAGAAGTTTGCTTAGCCTTGCTTTAAACCAACATCCATGTGTAATCAATGTGTACTGTGTACATACATTTTATCTCACTCCTCCCGCCTCCCACTTTCTGTCCCCTGAGAGCAAACTGGCAGCCAAGGTCGCACTTCAACTGTGGCCAGTCATGTTTGTGTAATTTGTGTTCATCTTGAGGGCCACAGTCCCCTTCTTTGGTCTCATCATTCCAGTCTTCAACTCCGTTGTGTGTTGGTTGTCTCCTTCCAACAAGTATCACTTCAGTTTTTGTAAGGTATGTTATTTAATATTTATCATGCCTTTTCTATAATAACAGTTCAAGTATTATTCATTCTAACTACTTAGGCACAATCAATGAGAAAGTTTTGTGGCATCAAAGAACTTAATTTTGGTTATTACTTTGGTATATACAATAATTAATGTTGCCTCAAAAACTAGCTGATGATTAGAAATATTATAGCCCAAGACACCATCACCTTGGTTAAAAATAGTAAATTACAAACATATCTAATGTATATATTTTTATCTCTTAAAAATGTTTTAAAAATTGTAATTATATTTTAGTATGGTACAGTACATACTTCTTAGGTTTGGTGTTGGTGTGAATTTGGAAAGGAAGTAAATGAATAATTGGTGTTAAAACACCATACATTTCACCAAACCTGTATTCAAAATAAAAATTATGAATGATTTGTATGTCATTTTCACTTGGCTGTCTATTTTAAGCCAAATATGTGTAAGGTGAGTCTAGAATGGAGTGATATGATCTATGTATCTTTGTTGCTAACTAAGATCAGCTGTTTCTCAGCTTGGGCCATTTAAAAAAAAAACCCAATAATCAAGGACAGCTGGGTTTAGTTAGTTTATTTACCTTCCTAATGCTATACTCTGTTTATAAAATTTAGGCGGTTTGAGGGGAAGTTAGTTCCCCACCACTTTTTTACTTCTTATGTATAGGAGCAGCTGATTGACATTTTGGCAAGCCTCACCGTTTAAGCTATTATTTTAATCGTAGGATGAAGATAACCAATCAGATAGATTTCTTCCTCTAAAACCGCCTAAATTTTGGGAGTTATTTACTGATCCTTTGTTTTTAATCACCAGCAACCATGCCTCTGATACTCTATGGATATGAGTACAGCCCTGCTGTTAGGACTGTGAACTTGATTATCCACGAACTTGACCTTCAGGCAGAGTTCAAGGTCGTTGACCTAACTAAAAGGGAACACCTTTCCCCAGAATTTATAAAGGTAAACAAGTGTTTTTTTAGTCTTAAATAATTTTAAACTAGTACAACAATTTATAACACCAAGCGTTTACCACAAAGTCAAATCTTGGCTGGTAAAAATAAAATTTTTAAAATCTTAAAGTACCTTTAACAATCAAGAAGCTAGTGTAAAGCCAGGACTGCCTAAATAAATGGGTCCAGTGGGCCTGGGCCCAGGGGCACAACAGGTTTTAGGTTTGTTGTGGTGCAAGGGAGAGAAAAATTTTCCTTCAAGGAAGGAGGAAGGGGGCACAAATAATTATCTCTCGTGCCCATACCACGGCACATGTATACTGCAAACTGCCGGTCTGATTAAACCCTACTGTGGAGAATTATATTTTTAATTTAATTACTTTTAGTTAAATGTGGATATACAATTAGATTCAAATAAAATTTCAACAATGTCATGTACACTTTTTATCCCATAACAAAATTGTACTAAGGACTATAAACAATTGTTTTTAAACTGTAAACAAAATTATTTAATGAGATGTACAACATCGCCTAAATTATCTCCATACTTGGAACAAAATCCCTTAATTGATCAAAATACAGATCATAGATACATCCTCTTACAACTTACAAGAGATATTAAAATAGTCTATTTTACATTCAAAAGAATATGTTGTTATGTTACAGATGAATCCCCTTCACACAGTGCCAGTGATTGATGATGATGGATTCATTCTTTGGGAGAGGTAAGACCTAACAAATAAAACTTCCATGAAGATTTGCTGAGGTTTTTTAGCCTCACCTATTAGCTGGGGAGGAGTAAAAATCTAAAGACATCACTAAAACCATAGACAAATAGAATAAGAAGTTTTGGCGTCCACCGCCATAGGTTTACTGTGTAGTTACGGCGCACAACGCTGCAGCGTCTGCTGGTCACATACGGCTCCTGCGCTTTCCGCCTGCACCGGTGTGCGCCGTAACTACACGGCAAACCCTAGCGGTGGGCGCCGGAACCTTCCTTTGACAGTCTATATTTATTCTATTTGTCTATGCTAAAACCTAGTTTAAGCTCAATATGGGCTCAGGGTTAGTACCTATAAAATGAAGTGAGATGGTCTGTATAGCTTTAACTATGATCAGCTGTTTCTTAGCCAGAACCATTATATGACAAAACTCAGCGATCCAGGAGGAGGAGATCCATATCTTGTTTTTGACCATCAAAAGCTATATTGACATTTTCTCTGGATTGAGCCATAGTGACTTTTTTGTCAGCCATAGGACTGTACCCACTCAGCTTTCTTTCACTTATACAAGAGTCTTGTCGTGTTCTAAAAGCAATATTCCTTTAAACAATCCCATTTTTCATCACCATAATAATACTTACCTCAACATCTGGAGCGTTACCTAGCTCCTATTGCTGGCCTCCTCCAGTGCTGTCTAGTGGATTTATGTTTCCAGTTGTGAATTTTTGTTTTCCTCATGTCCTCCTCATATCAACCTTTATAATCCTGGCCGTTCAGTGCAAGCAAATACCTCTCATGCCCCCAGTACACTCTCACCAAGGCAAGGCGAGCGTTGGTGAGTTCGAGAGTGTACTCGGTGCGCTCGTCTTCTCTTGCCTCGCCTCGCCTTGCCTCGTGCACGCCGGCGCTCCGGCGTCGGTTTTTTGACACAAGTCAAAGGACCCAAGAATGCACGAGTGGTGAGTGCTACTCCACATCAAATTTTGCCTCCATTTCGACTGCTAGACAAAGTGAGAGTGTACACAGTCACCTCGCATAAGCTCTCGCCCAAATTATCGGCGAGCGCCTCGGCTAGCGTGTCGGCGAGAGTTTACTGGGGGCATCAGTCCCGTAGCGTGTCTTGTGCTAACCGTGAGACTGATAACCTTTAAGCTACGCAAGCATGTTCTAGGTTTATTCAAATTAATTTTTGGCTTAAACAACTTCAATTCAGTATTTTTTTTTTCAGCAAAGCCATAATATGCTACCTGGCCTCCAAGTATGCCAAGGATGACTCTTTGTATCCCAAAGACCTGCAGAAGAGAGCAATTGTAGATCAACGGCTACACTACAGCAATGATGTGTTCTTCGTAGCCAGGGACATCTCAGTAAGTGTGGGACTGGACATAATTTTCTTTTGTTAATTTGTGTTTAAATCCTTATCTTTAAGTCAAAAAAAAGTAAAATCTTCATTCTTAGGCTTAAGAGGCCGATTTCATCACTAAATTATTGGTCTTCCATCGAGAGCCAGGTCTAATTGGTATGTACGCTATTTAAAGTATCAGTACATATATTGTAAATACCAATTTTTGGCTCTCACCGTAAGACAGAGAATTCAGCCATTCTTCCAAAATTTAATAAAGAATCATAATTTAAACAGGGGTGACTAATAATAGCAATAGTAATATTAGCCAAAGCTTGATTCATATGTCAATTTTTCCTAGGGAAAAATACAGAGCTAAGTAATAGAAATAATGATGTAGTTGTATTTAATATCTTTTGTGTTGCCTTTCCTCCTTTAGCTAAATATATTTGTAATAAATGCAAAAACAAAGTATAAAGTATTTCAGGTTTCTTGAAACTGGGATTACAAAAATTATAAACACTGTTTAGAAAAAAATCTTGTAAGTTAAACATTTTTGCACTATATTCTAAATGAGTATCATAATGAAAAATTTACAAGAGGTTCTCCCGCGAATTCACGGGTGAACAAAAGCCACCATTAAATTAATTTAATCAACTTTAAATTTATATTTCATTTAAAGGGCCCAAGTTCGAGAAATTGTCATCTGAAAGGATGTTAAAAGTAGTGGAACCTTCATACCTTACGTCCTTAGGTTGGCCAAGGTTGTACCTGAACACGCAGCTCTCTTCCACGACGTCTTTAATACTTTACTTTAATACTTTTCAATGAAATTGCGACCTGTTAAAGATCGGTGACAACCTCTTGGAACGAACAACATACCTACATGGTTTGTTAATCTCATACTCATCGTGTTTCGAACACCTTTAATCACTCACTTGTATCAAACAGCTAGAAATAGCTTCACTGTCCATTCGCCACACTTCTTTTAAGAACATAACAGTAAATATTAAAATAAGTAAACAAAAATGTAAACAAACAAACTATATTGTCAATTGCATTGGCCAGCTGTTGTTCACTAAATTAATCGAATAATGTTAACTTCCAAAACATGCAAGGCGTAGCCCTTTGGAAATCAGCTTGTGGGGCAGAGCCCTTAGAGAGTTCATCCATATCAATACTTTTCGGCAAATCTACACACTCTAAGCTTCGTTTTGATATGCCATATGCCTATATTTTTATTTGGTAAATGGCCTTAACCGTTTACATTAAAATTTGATTGTATCACTTTAATAATATAATAGATGTGTACATTAGTGTAAATTGTAAATATTATAAACATATTTTTTCCTCAAATGAGTGAAAGATGTGTGTTATGACAACTAAATATTTTATCTGAACATAATTTATTTTTGTTTTAGAGGGATCTTGTATTTTTTAACAAACCCGGGGTGACAGATGATGACCTGAAAAAAGTGCAACAGGCTCAAGACTATATTGAAAAACTGTTGGAAGGTCAAAAGTTCATGGCTGGGGAGAACCTTACACTGGCTGACTATTGCTACGTAACCTTGATCGACGTGTTAGAGGTATGAATATAAACTGTACCTGTCTTGTGTTTAGATGTGAAAGGCAAGCTTAGAAAGAGCAATGCCGTTGGGTTTGCTAAGAAGACCGTTACAGTAGGTTTAATCTGGCTGAGTCTAACATGTTGTCTTCCTAGGATACAGATTTGCGAGTTTCCATCTCAATTGGGACTGGTGGTCAACTCAAGAGGAGTTTTTCAACTGTCTTAAGCAGAACCTGGTGGGGATGGCCAACCTAGAACATAGATAGCTATCTACGTGTAACAGCAATTTAGATGAAAGTTAATGAGCGATGAACGGATGGTCTATAAGTTGTACCTCTATGTATTTTGCTCATTTTACCACAGAGAATAAAAGCTATAAGGTATAAGTAATTGGTATCCTACAGAGTTAACATTCAATTGTAAATACACTTTAGAGATATGGGTGTGTTTGGCAAAGTCCAGGACTGCCCCCTCGTAACGCTCACAGCGGAGGAAGACCTCGATAGGATAGGAATTTCCATACATTACTCGCGCTCTACCTGATAGAAAGTGCACAGTTCTCCCATAAGCTCCCTATAAGCCCCCTTACTTCTCTGTGATTTTACTTATGCTAACTGCATGGGAGTGTCCACTAGATAGATAAGGCTGTTTGGGACTTTTTCATGAGAAAAACCTTGAAAACAAAAACACTATGCTGCTGAAAGGGTTAAAATCTGTTGTTTATTAGCATGACTTTGATATCAGGCTGAATTTTCTGAATCTGAATTTTGATTTCAGGTGATCAACCCCTCTCACAGTCATCCTTTGACCAAAGCATGGTTCGAGCGTTGCAAGACAACGATGAAGGATTTTGAAAAAGTGAATAAAGCAGGAGCCGATCAAATAACAATGGCTGTCAAGCAGAAACTAGCTCATTAATCCTAAGGGATAACAACTTATAAAAGTTAAAAGATTATCTCTTAAGATAATCTATGCGTAAATACCCAAATTGGGTTGTATAATTTTTTAATTTTTTTACAATATATTTTACCACTGTGGATCAAATAAATCATTACAAAACTAACTGAAAATATGAGCTTCATAAATGTAACGATTAAAAATTGTAAAATTCAAACGTGTGATAATTTGTAAATTTTATTTCAAATTTCTTATTTTTATCAAATAAATATGGAAAAAATTCAGATACTCTAGGTAACTATGTGTGTTATAAATAAATAAATAACATGATCTTTAATTTTGTGGGCATTTTATTGTCAAAGAATTGTCGAACCAAGGACCAGTTAGTGCTTTTTCTTAAACACCTTAGTTTCAGACAGGAATTGTTTTCCATGAAAATACTGCCGAAGCAATTAAGAGAAAGTTTGGTGGTGAAGTAGCTCCTCAACAACTCAGAATAGAACATTCAGTAACAGTTACAGTAGCAGATACAACAGACAGTTTAATTTGATGTACAGGATTAAATCTTAAACACAAGACTTGACTGTCATCTTTTACACAAGTATCCAGTCAAGTCTTGCATAGTAAAACAAGATTCATTTTCAGAGTAGAAGTGTTAATTACTTGTAATTTTTTTTGTCAATTAACTTATTAGCTTACGTAGATTGGTGATAAAATATTAATGTATTTGAAAATGAAATTGAAGGCAACTATAGTTATCTGGATCACTTTTAGCTCCAGACACACTTTTATGGTGTTGTATGTACATTGTGGGATCACATAGTGTTGTCACAACACGAAGATGGATGAAAATCCTAGATTCAAATTCTTAGTTAATTTATTTGTTTGCAGAATTATTTGTAAATAGTTTTTGACTGCTAGCTACAAAATAAAATTTGATTTAGACATGTCTACCCTTCTCCTCTCCGAGGACAACTGCAAGGAGGGAAATCGAGCGTAATACTGTGAGATTCTAAATCTACAACCTCACGGAATGCTGACGCTTGTCAGCAGAACAAATTGGCCACATTCCATGCTGCGACCAAAGTATTGAACGGGATTTAACCAATGGATAAATCAACAACAATAAGCGACAATCAAAAAACCCAATTTAATCACAAGATAATGAAATTGCACTAGTTGCTGCATGTGTTTCTATTGACCAATTGCTGATATCAGTGACAGAGTGGCATCCTCAATAAATGCCACTATACAGGGTGTCCAAAAAGTCCTGGGTCGGTTAAATATTTTTTGAAATATTAAAATTGATCTACAAAAAAACTAACTTTGCATAAAGTTACTGGACATAAAATTCCATTCTATCACATATTCAGTGATCCACAATATGGGGGAGGGCCTGCTAGGAGTAAGAAGAAAATCTTAACCCTTCCCGGACGGGTGACGGATATATCCGCCTAAGTCTTTGGCAATGAAGGACGGGTAGCGGATCTATCCGCTTATGGTTTTTGATGTTCCGGACCTAATCCGGGAAGCCGATATACCCGCCTTCTCTTCAGACAGATTGGCAGGTGCTTGAGCAGTAACCAGATGTTTAGCGGTACCAAGCGCCTCCTTCCTTTTCTTCCCATGGCTACGCTCACTCCCGCACTCCCCCCTCTCTACTTTGCCTACCCTTCTCCCGCGCCACCCCCTCTCCCGCGCACCCCCAATCTCTCCTACGCGCTCAACACTACGTTGTCTTAATTTATTGTTTACATATTGTTCTTTATTTATTGCCTAACGTTGTCATGTCATATCTTCAAAGACGGGTGGCGGATAATCGGCTGCTTTTCTACTCATCCGCGGATGGGTAGCGGATATATCCGCATAGTTAAAAATGAGTGAACAATTATTTTGACAGTTTGAAGTGTTCCACTTGTTTTAAAAATAAGGAATATTAATTTTTATTGTTTCCTACATTTTTTCCCATTCTATGTCACGATTTCGTCCGTCCGGGAAAGGGTTAAATGTAAGCATGGGATGATACAATAGAAAGTCTTTTTTTTATTAGTAGAATACAATGCCACAACAAACGGACTACACCGAGTCAAAAATGGCAGCCGTTCAAAAGATTTTTGGAATCTGCCATTTTGAATCTTGGAGCGACTGCCATTTTTACCCTTTATTTTGAGCTAAAATTTGTGGCATTGTATTCAACTACTGTAATAAAGCCCTTTAATTTGATGTGCGTATCAAAACTGTATGCTTACGCATACAGTTTTGATTTTCTTCCGAGTTCTAGCAAGCGCCCCCCTGAGGAAAGTAGCGCGCCATAGATAAAACATAAGTTTGATCTATTGTAGTGCCAATATTGAAGACCGTTCAGTTTTGTTATAACATTATAAACCATACAACTTCCTTAAAAGATTAATCATCCTTCTTTAGACTAGCTGAAGGCAATTTTGCATTGTTAGTTTCATCCAGTGCACTGTGAAGGATCGTGTTTTTGTTTACAATTTGTTTCTTCTTATTTCCGTGTTTAAGTGTTATACAAAACTTCATTCAACCAAATAAAACGATCTAATCATAAACAATAACTAATTAGTCCCAGTTATATAACCGAACAGTAAAGAATAATCTTTACTCGGCTATAAAAAACGATGGTTGGTGTATGATGGATTTAACCTGAAAATGATATAGAAACAAAATCTCGTCGACACTAGCACCCCGAGTGTCACCAACATGAACTAGAAACAAAAAACGAGCTTCAAATACTTTACAATGGGATGGGAAGTCTATACTTGTTTTGGTTAGTTTTTGGTTATAATTAACTTACTGATCGCGGAGGGTGGTGAACAAGGAGGCAACCATGGCATTGTGTGTAGATGTATGTATAATCAATGGTATAGGTAAGGAAAAGCGTCCTTTAAAAATATTATGGTGATGCTATAGTCGACCCAGATAGCAAAAAATACTTGATTAAAGCTTGAAACAAGTTTGATTTGTCAAATCTGCAAACTTGAATCAAGTTTGCTCGGATGGGTCCGTAAACTTGATTCAAGTTAATATCATGCGTCGAAGTTCCCGCTCTTCCAGTTTGAATAAAACTTGAAACATCTAATTTGAATAAAACTTAAAATTTCTAATTTGAATAAAAATTGAAACATCTAATTTGAATAACACTTGAACTATCTAATCTAAATATAAATTGAAAAAATACTTGATTCAAGCTTGAAATAAGATTGGTTTGTCAAATCTGCAAACTTGAAGGATCAGGTTTGTAAACTTGATTCAAGTTAAAATCATCCGTCGAAGTTCCCGCTCTTCCAGTTTGAATAAAACTTGAGAGATCCAATTTTAATAAAACTTGAAATATCTAATTTGAATAAAAATTGAAACATCTTATTTAAATATAAATTGAAGAATACAAGAAATAATTCTTTTTTAGCCACTTAAAGCTCTTTTTTTATTTCTGAAAATTTAATTCATATGCTTTTACCAGGATTCACACAGTCTTACATGTAATAGAAATTTCATATTATTTAGGTTGAGATGCATAGCACAATATAATCTTCCAATATTTCAGATAATTAATTTTTCACAATCACAACATAATCTAATAACTTCAATGCCTCTAGTTGTTAAATGCCAAGACACTTCTCTAAATAAAAAAGCGAGATACCATCTAAAAACTTGTTTTTATAAAAGAGCAGGAAAACATGAGATATTATAGTTTTCAACCCTAAAATTTTACATATTATTACTATTCAGTACGTAGAATTCAGAAATATTTGAAATTAAAAATAAAACACAAGAGATAATTTGTCTAAATAGATTTATATTGAAGATTTACATAACACATTTACATTTGAAAATGCCTCGTATCTTTAAATTTCAACAAACAGTTCCCTCAAAAATTCCCCATTTTACGATTACTTAAATAATACAGAGTAAGTTATCTATTCAACAAGATCTTCATCCCCATTGAGTGGAACTTCTTCCCCATTGTCCACAGTGGCAGGTTTTTTCCCTCTGAAAAAAGTCAAAACAAATAGAATCAATATTAAATTTAAGGATAATCAACCAAAATGATTAATTTTGTATCTGGTATAAAAAAATAGGCAAGTAAGCAACATTTTAAACTAACGCAGTTTAACTCAACCAGTGTAAGTTTAGTGAAAATTAATTTATTCCTACAATGATATACAAATACAATATATGATCTTCCCAATAATATTAGTATTAATTATTAATATGTATAAAACACAATTACATTTTTATTGTCAAAAAATGTTAAACACAAGCCCAGGATTGTTTTCACATTACTTCAGACAAAACCTAGGCGTTGCGGCATTATCACTTCGATAAAATAATTAGATGAATCTGCAGGATTTTGTATTTTACGGTTTAAGTATAAAACTAGTTGAGCGAAGCTCACTTTCCCTCACTTTGTAACTTCTTTGTAAGAGCATCAGAATGTAATGGCTTGACCAATTGATATGAAATTTGGCCAACAGCTAAAGAATACTGAGCACAATGTTTAGGTAAAAAATATTTGCAAATTTCCTTCTGGATTTTATTTTACGGGTCACGCAATTTCGCTTGTTATTTTAATATTAAGTTGAAAGAAAAATTATATTGGGTCTTTGACATATGGGTTTATCTCGTTTCATTTAATTAAGATAAACATATGTTAATTGTTTGTAACTGTTTTGTTTACATTTCAATGTTTACTTTCATCCTAGGTTAAAGTTGGAATGTAACAGTTTATCAATGAAAGTGACAGTTTTGCTATATTTGTTTTGAGCATGCCTCAAAGGCCACGTCGTAATATTGGTCGTCGCACCAATAACGCAAATATTGTAAGAGAGTGGCGTCGTGAACAAGAAGAACCAGATGAAGCAGTGGCGGAAGAAGCTGATAATGATAGGCAGTTATAGCTAATCAATTCCAACATCAATTAGATGCACTAAAATTTTACATTTGCACTAACTGCCATCGCCAACAACTAACAGCTTCAAGCAATTTTTTGGTGTTCAAACCAATCACCGATTTGTTCGCGTTGTCGTTCAAATGCAACTAAATTCACAGCGTTAAATAATATGGATGTGTCAAGTGTCCCGAACGAATTAACTGACCGAACTGATTGAATTAACTGATTAACTGATTAATGACGATTGTAGAACAAATGTTGATTGCACGAGTACATCCCGCTATGCGCATTTACAAAGTACAAGCAAATGGTCAGGCTTTTATCAATTCTTATTCTTAACTAAATAAATGAACTATCAGATAAATTTGTCATTCTTTAGAACCTAAATAATATCGGGCAAACAAACGGTGAATCTGTTGAAAGGG